AAAATGGTCTTGCCCCAAAATGGGGTTGCTTCGTGCTGCTGAAAGATGCCTAGTGCATCTGTAGTGCCCTAGATTCCTACCCATACTTCAAGTCTCATCCGTTCTTGTACAGTACAGTAAGTATTTCATACGTCTGGTCGAGAAGTTTCTGAACTAGGCTTCTACTACCATTAACGACTGGCTAAAAAAAAACAATTCCAAGACACTTCTGTACGTACTAATTGGGATTATCCCCGGCCATGTCCAGTGTTAGTTACAATGGCCAGACATATCCAACCCCACCTGGCTACTTGGGTCTCCTGCTGAATCCCTTCCACCCAGATGTGGCTATGACGGGTCACTTCACTGAGGTATCATGGTGTTCACTCGGTAGACTTCCCTATTTGTAGAGATAAATCCCAGCAATTCTTGCTGGAGAGACAGTTTTACTGTTCACACCTGTTCTCCCCAAAGTTCTTGTTGATTAAGCTCCGGCAATCAAACATGGCAATATAAAGTTACCCTTTTGTGATGCAATAATTAATCATATTGGCAAGTAAGCCATTCTGGATTTGTCTGAAACTGGGGATGCCCCAATGTTGCGAATTTACAGGGGACAATGGGCCATGGGATGTTGGAGGCTTCCGTAAATTTTCACAAGCCAATCTTCAATGGATTGGTTTTGTTGGGAACATATTAGCACACCATAGGTATTTTCCCATGAAATTCATGGGGTTTTCCGGTTCCAAATTTCCCGTGAAAACCAATCCATTGAACATTTAACATAGCTATGGAATACTGAAAAATTAACATAGCTATGTTGAAAATGGCCCATAGACATAGGTGATTTACCTATTAAAACTTGTGATTTTCCATAGTCTTTTGTATGTTTACCAGAGAGTAACTAGCCTCATATCGCCTTTCAGATGCGCAAACCTTGGACGAATCCCCGGGTTTTTCCATCATCGAATCCCCGGGTGTCCACCTTGGTGCCTTAGGCCTTGATGAAGGCATTGGCGCCTTAGAATCAAACTGCTGGTCGTGAGGTATGCGTCGTGAGTCGTGATGTGGTCAAACAATATAATTATGGTGTTTTATTATGATCATTCTTATTCATATATCAATATTACTATATTACTATATATATATTACTATGATTATTCTCATTATTATCATCTGTGTTATTATTCTATATCATTATTATTATTCCATACTGCATGTATCATCACGTATTTATCATACGTATAGATCGAATTCCATGCCCGATATCCATCCAACTAGATATCGATTTGGGGATGCGGTGGTTTTTGAAGCGGATTCCATGGGCCTTCCATGGATCATTTTCATCATTTCTTGGGGATTTGGAGGACCCTGGGGGACCTATGGGGACCAGAAGGGGGCCTGATTTCCGGTGATTTTTTTTCTCACCCCCAGCAGCTGCTGGTAACCGATTCCTAGCGGGATGAGAAATGATCCAACTCGACTAATCGCAGGCTTCTTTTTTGCACAAGCCTCGTTTCATAACCATTCACCCAGCATTTATCAACTGTATAGACTGTATAGACTGTATAGACTGTATAGTATACCTATCTCACTCATGATTAATCAAACTATGTTGGATAGTACTGTACAACCTCCAGAGTCAACAACCAACCATCAATTACCACAGGATAAGCTAACATAGGTGTGGAAAAGCCCATGGTTTCCCGTTCGGAATATTATCTACAAGTATATAGTGTCTGTTGTTGCCACATCCTTCGATGTTTGGAGAGTATCAATGTAAAGAATATCCATATGTTTGATGGTTATAAGTTAAATCCTATATAAAACCCAGTGATGATGGAAATAAGTAAGTGATGATATCTTTTTAAAAACAAATGAAATTTTACTATAATACAAGTACTATAAAATAGAGTAAGATTCCATCTATTTTTCTATGTCAGTCCCTTTTCAATCGGGTTTTCACACATGTTTCACCACCGAGAGGCAGCTGCCAAAGCAGGCAGGTCCCTTGGCCACACATTGCCCGTCCACCGAAGCACATTGCAAGAATGCCTCGGGGCCATCGGGCATTGTCGGGCTATCCATGCTGGATGGAGAAGATGGTTTGGGCCATCCACGGGCCATGAATTTGTTTTTGCATCCGGTGGAAACATGGGGAAATCCCGGGTTTTTCAGATTTTTTATAGTTTGAAAAAGAATTTGGGAACATCTTTGCAAAACATCAAACAATTGGCTATTCTGAATGCTTACCAGTGTTTACCATGGCTTTTAAATCATCGAATCAACACTTGGAAAAAACATGGCGAACTGCGTGAGTTAATCCTGTGACTGCTGGGATTTGTGGACGTGCATCCCTTCAAAGATTTCGCCTACAGGCTTTAAGCATCTTTAACCCATACCCACATCAATGGAACACATGCGAAAGAACATGCGAAAACTTGGCTTATACATTTAAGTGAATAGCACCAACAACAAGAATGAGGCTTCATCGTTCAACAATCTTTGGGCGGAAGTGGTGTTGTGACTATAGCAACAGGGATATCTAACATGTTTTATCATCAAAACGGGTGGATTCAATGTGACGATTCTCCATGTTGAAGCGGACGATTGGTTAATGGGTACAGTAAAGTTTGGGGAAGTATTCCCCGTAATCACGGTCTATGGTTTGATCCTTGTATTTGACATGGTTATCAATCAATGGGAAATGAGTTTGCGTGGCGAGTTTTCAATAAACATCTAATAACCAGTCTGTCTCATCTCACTACATAAATCCATGGTTTCCGTCCAAAAAGGGGCCGAGAAAAAACTACCCTGAGATTGATGAAGTCATGAAGTAAAGTGGGGATGGTTCATGAAATTCGGTTTAGTGAACGGTTCATGAGTTTGGCAACAGATTAACATATATTAACTTCCAAGCTTTCAGAACGTTTTGATCATGGGAATACTGGCTCGATCGCAAGCAGCCCTGGCCATTTTGTGGCGAAACATGACACCACCCGTGTGCTTCAAGCGGCGTGAAACTGCCAACTTTTTTTTGTTGCACGTCTATGGGCAGTCTTCCTATGGATTCATACATCGATTCTACCAGAAATCGTAGGTGCATCCTCGAGATGACGCATGAAATACCTTCCCAGTCCTGGAGGTCCCAGTTTTTCACAAGAACTTGTGGGATTGAATACTGTAGATGTTTTCTCCAGATATCCTCTGGTAATGTAATATCTGAAAAATCACCATTTCGAATAGGTACCATCAAATCATCGAACATCTCGTTTATTGGGCCATCATTTTCCACCAAACCATAGTCTACCAGGTGGCTTGCTATATCCGAGCTCTCCCAGGATCCGTGCCAGGAAACTCCTTCAGCCTTGTCCTCATCAGTCACCACATGAACGAAGTGGGTATCGCAGTCGTCCAGTTCCAACTCTCCACAGATGCCTTGGTGCGACGAACCGCCACGGGCCATGGGCCAAGGCTGATTTATTTGGGCAAATTTTGGCCAGCGGCATTCAGAAATGCCATGATAAGATATGATCAATTTATAATATTATAGACTTAAATAGACTTTGGATGGTTTTGGAGTAGCACCTTTTGGGCAGAAGTTGGACTGTTTTCCAACCATCTTCTGCACGGACTGACCAGAAACGTCTCCCCTTCTTCGCCCAGTTACCAAAGTGACGGGATCCCAGGCACTGGCCCACCTCGTGCTTCTTGCAACTGGCGCGAACTGGTGACTGGTGACACTGGTGACACTGGTGACCCCGACTGGTGATGGTGATGACACTGGTGACCCAAAAAAAGGGCACCCCGGGGACGGTGACCGCTGGTGTAAAAAATGGCACGGGGGGCTTGGCGTTGTTGGGTCAACCGGCCATTGCTACTCGGATGACCAGCCCACTTGAAGCTCACAGCCTCCCAGCAATGGGTATACGTGCCATTATGAAGGGAAATTGATGAATCCCACACTCAGAATGTACTCTAAGTTTTGTTCGTGGAATCATTGTTTTTTCCCGAGAGCGTCTGAGCGCAGGGTTCTTCCAATAGTGGGGGTCTGTCATCTCATCTTCACATCTTCACACCTTCTCATCTTCACATCTTCTCTCACACCTTCTCATCTTCACATCTTCTCTCACACCTTCTCATCTTCACATCTTCTCTCACACCTTCTCATCTTCACATCTTCTCTCCCACCTTCTCATCTTCACATCTTCTCTCACACCTTCTCATCTTCACATCTTCTCTCCCACCTTCTCATCTTCACATCTTCTCTCCCACCTTCTCATCTTCACATCTTCTCTCACACCTTCTCATCTTCACACCTTCTCATCTTCACATCTTCTCTCACACCTTCTCATCTTCACATCTTCTCTCACACCCTCTCATCTTCACATCTTCTCTCACACCTTCTCATCTTCACATCTTCTCTCACACCTTCTCATCTTCACATCTTCTCTCACACCTTCTCATCTTCACACCTTTCTCATCTTCACATCTTCTCTCACACCTTCTCATCTTCACATCTTCTCTCACACCTTCTCATCTTCACATCTTCTCTCACACCCTTCTCATCTTCACACTTTCTCTCACACCTTCTCATCTTCACATCTTCTCTCTCTCTCATTCTCTCTCCTTTCTCTCTCCTTTTTCTCTCTCTCGCCTTCTTTATCTTTCTCTCTGTAGGCCGAGGGTTGGACCGGCGGGATTGAGTAACGAAAAGTCAACCCTTTCGCACGAATATGAGGGTCGATGTCAAAACTGGTCCGAGGACAAAATGCGATTTTTTTTTTTTAATTGTACCGGAGCAACCCTTTCACACGAAATGATGGTCGATCGTCAAAAACTGAGAAAAAATTGCGATTTTACTTGCCCCCGAGCAACCCTTTCGCACGAAATGAGGGTCGATCGTCAAAAAACTGAGGAAAAATTGCGAGTTTACTTGTCCCCGAGCAACCTTTTCGCACGAAATGAGGGTCGATCGTCAAAAACTGAGAAAAAATTGCGATTTTACTTGCCCCCGAGCAACCCTTTCGCACGAAATGAGGGTCGATCGTCAAAAACTGAGGAAAAATTGCGATTTTACTTGCCCCCGGAGCAACCCTTTCGCACGAAATGAGGGTCGATTGTCAAAAACTGAGGAAAAATTGCGATTTTACTTGTGCCGGAGCAACCCTTTCGCACGAAATGAGGGTCGATCGTCAAAAACTGAGGAAAAATTGCGATTTTACTTGTGCTAAAACAACCCTTTCGCACGAAATGAGGGTCGATCGTCAAAAACTGAGGAAAAATTTCGATTTTACTTGTGCCGGAGCAACCCTTTCGCACGAAATGAGGGTCGATCGTCAAAAACTGAGGAAAAATTTCGATTTTACTGTGACGGGAGCAACCCTTTCGCACGAAATGAGGGGGCGATGGTCAAAAAACTGAGGAAAAATTTCGATTTTTACTGTGGTAAAAGCTTCTGTGTGTTTAAAAGCGTCTGTGTGTAAAAGCGTCTGTGTGTAAAAGCGTCTGTGTGTAAAATCGTCTGTGTGTAAAAGCGTCTGTGTAAAAGCGTGTGTGTAAAAGTGTCTGTGTGTAAAAGCGTCTGTGTGTAAAAGCGTCTGTGTGTAAAAGCGTCTGTGTGTAAAAGCGTCTGTGTGTAAAAGCTTCTGTGTGTAAAAGCGTCTGTGTTTGTAAAAGTCTCTGTGTGTAAAAGTGTTTGGGTGTAAAAGTCTCTGTATGCAAAATCGTCTGTGTGTAAAAGTCTCTGTGTGTAAAAGTGTTTGGGTGTAAAAGTCTCTGTGTGCAAAATCGTCTGTGTGTAAAAGCGTCTGTGTGTAAAAGTCTCTGTGTGTAAAAGTCTCTGTGTGTAAAAGCGTCTGTGTGTAAAAGAGCCTGTGTGTAAAAAGCGTCTGTGTGTAAAAGCGTCTGTGTGTAAAAGCGTCTGTGTGTAAAAGCTTCTGTGCGTGAAAGCGTCTGTGTGTAAAAGCGTCTGGTGTAAAAGCGTCTGTGTGCGTGTAAAAGCGTCTGTGTGTAAAAGCGTCTGTGTGTGTAAAGGCGTCTGTGTGTAAAAGCGTCTGTGTGTAAAAGTGTTTGTGTGTAAAAGCTTCTGCGTGTAAAAGCGTCTGTGTGTAAAAGCGTCTGTGTGTAAAAGCGTCTGTGTGTAAAAGCGTCTGAATGTAAAAGCGTCTGTGTGTAAAAGCGTCTGTTTGTAAAGCGTCTGTGTGTAAAAGTGTTTGTGTGTAAAAGCTTCTGCGTGTAAAAGCGTCTGTGTGTAAAAGCGTCTGTGTGTAAAAGCGTCTGTGTGTAAAAGCGTCTGTGTGTAAAAGCGTCTGTGTGTAAAAGCGTCTGTGTGTAAAAGCTTCTGTGTGCAAAAGCGTCTGTCTGTAAAAAGTTCTGTGTATGAAAAACTTTACAAAAATACGATGCAAACTATTGTCTTGTACTAGTCATATATTGTCTTGATACTACTCTTCTCGTCTGCCTATAATACATCTTTAATATAGTGTCTCCATACTAACAACAGAAGACTCTGCTCCTCTACGCTCTCGGGCCATCCGTCGTCTAGTTTTAACATCTGGTAGACAAACAGGTCACTGCAGAATCCATGAAAATCTGCCTGTCACTTGGTTTCATGGTCAAAATATCGTCAATTTCCATGGCCAACTCAAATTCTTGGAGGCTTAGCTTCCCATTTGGGTTCCTCAAATCCAATTCTGGCTACATTCAAAGCTTTCCGGAAATTTCAAATGGTTCTCCCCAATCAATATTAGAGGATAGGTGAAGTTATATGGCATTATATGGAATGGTTTATGGTCATCCATCCCATGCCACAGGAATTCTGCAAGCATGGATATTTTTATCCCATCAAGGATGGATGGCCATCCACCAGTCTAACTTGACCATGACACCTCTGGGGATAGATCGAAATTCAGTGGCCAATGGGCCATGACTCAGGAACCTAACTTGGAGGTACTACCATATACACCCATTAACAAGGTTTATGTAATGGCTAAAAAAATCAGGGATGTACCGAGATATATCTCCTACGGTAATCAAACGTTGCTTGCGAAAAAAAAACAGCTATAGGTTCGATGATTTTCCCAGCGAACTCAACGTGTTTTTTCCCATGTTCCTATGATTTTCCAATATGTTAGGAATTAAAAAACATATAGGAACATGGAAAAATATTAATAAAATTATAGGGAAATTTTTCCTAATATATTTTTTCCTGTTCCTATGTTCATATTTTGTTCATAGGTGATTTTTAGGGCAGCCACGTTTGATGACACCCCGCGATCCGCACCTCCACTTGGCCCAGACCAGCGTGCGGCTGTCACCGACCCAGTCGCCACTGCTACTGCAGTCATCCCTGGAGAGGCGGGGCGGGTTGTGGTGATCTTTCCCTCCATGTATGCTATATATGCTAACATTTACCATCAATAGTTGTGGTTTATATATCCCTACCCCTATAAAGGGGGAGGGCGAGGGGGACAAAACCAAGCTGTCGAATTCCATTTTTTTTGCTTGGAAACCCTGGGATAGTGATCCAACGCCTCAAATGGAATTGTAAAGTAACATTTCTTAACAAGTCTTGGGCACTGGTTAGAAAATACTTGCGCTTAGCTCCGGAGGAGCTAAGCGCAAGTATGATGACGGCGGCGCAATTTTTGGAGGGATGCCATCCCTACATATGTGCTGCTTCAGTCTGACATGTGCTTAGCTCCTCCGGAGCTAAGCGCAAATACTTAATTTTCATCTGCTTGCCAATGACATGGAATGATGAGGAATATTGATCATTGAGCAAACATGATTGCAAAAATAGAATTTTAAAATGAAATTTCAGTACGACTCACCCCCGTCAAATTCCATTTTTAAGAGGGTAGGGATGTTTGTATGGTAACATTTACCATCAATATACCCCCTTTATGTTAGCATATATACCAATACATGGATCCGTCATGGGATAGTCTATTAACATTTTGCGAATGTAACTGGCCATTTTGGGAGCTGAGTATTCCCCGTTTCAGACACATCCAAATGTGATATTCATACCTATACATGGAGCCTTCAAATACCCCATAAAATGGTAAGAGTATGACTTTAACAATTCTGGGGTAAAACACCATTTCTATGGGTATTTGGAGGGTCTAGGTATGTCTAGAATATATCTATATAGGCTACTTGAATGATAATCCATGATCATCACAACTTTTGTGGTATCATGTGCTTAGGAAACTCTATGCGTCGCTCCGTGGCTTCCCATTGGACCCCATTTTTTCTCGGGAATATGGATCCCCATAGCTCCTCCTGACAAATGGATAGCAGTGTTTCCATTCAGTTGAGTCTGTCCAAAACTGGAGTATAGCCCCCAAATTTTTCATGTTTAAATCAAAGGGATACTGATGATTCATCAGTGGATTCAGGGCTAGCCGATTTTTTGACAAACCCATTCTCTGATCCTTTCAGCCTACGGCCTCAACTGTTTTTTTAGACCAAAGTCCGGTGAGATTCCTTTTTTTTGCTGAACAAATGCTGATTCTGCGCTGAAATATCAACAAGGTCCCCCCCGGGTATTTTTCTTGGTTTATAAGCCTGTGAACTACGGATCGATCTACCATAAAGCCTATAAAAATTGGTACCCGGAGCACCACCTTGAACCCAGGTCCTGTTTCCGCCGCCACAGTAGGATTGGCTCAATCCAATGCCCACGCTGATGTCGTTGTGACCGCCCTTCACAGGGCATCCGTGACCGTCGCCCACTTGCATGCAAAAGACGCAGGCCTGGGGCGGGGATGGCACCCGCAGTGGAAAAGTCTCCTGAAAGTCGGGTCTGAACCCCCCCAAAATGCTCATTTCATCCTCAATTTCCATGAATTTTCACAGTAAACATAATGACATCATGATAAAGTGTCCTTTATTGTCGGGTCTGAAGCTCCAAAAAACAAGATGGAAGCCACGAACCCGAATGTATTCACGTTCTTGGACTACGAGTGCAAACCTCTGCAATAGGAAAACGAACCTTTGTTTGCATGCATCGTGCGGTTCACAAAGAGACAACTAACCAGCACAACAACACCACCACAAGCACAACGTAATCACAACCAGCACAACAATATCACCAGCGCAATGAAATCACAACAATATCACCAACACAACAGCATCACCAGCACATCAACATCACCAGCACAACGAGATCACCACCACCTGCCACACTCCACACTTTACCCACTGCACACTCCACACTTTACACTCCACACTCCGCACACTACACTTTACACTCCACACTCCACACTCTACACTTTACACTCTACACTTAACTTGACACTCTACACTTCACACTCGACACTTTCCGCTCCGCACTCCACACTCTACAGTTTACACTCCACACTTTACACTTTACACTCCTCACTCCACACTCAACACTTTACACTCCACACTCCTCAATCCTCACTCCACACACTACACTCCATACTCCACACTCCACACGCCACACTCCACCACATTCTACACTCTACACACACCACACTCCTCACTCCATACTCCACACTTTACACTCCACACGCCATACTTTACACTCCACACTTTACACTCCACACTCCACACTTAGCACTCCACACTTACACTACACTACACTACACTCTACACACACTCTACTCTTTACACTCTATACACTTTACACTACAACTTTTTACAATCTACACTACACATTCCACACTCTACACGCTCTACACTCCCCACTCCACACTATACAAAGCACTTCCCAGTACTACTTTGTACTGCAAAGCTTGCACAGACTACTTCCCAGTACTTTGTACTACACAGCTTGCACAAAGCACTTCCCAGTACTACTGTGTACTACACAGCTTGCACAAAGCACTTCCCAGTACTACTGTGTACTACACAGCTTGCACAAACTACTTCCCAGTACCACTTTGTACTACAAAGCTTGCAAAGCCGTTCCCAGTACTACTGTGTACTACAAAGCTTGCACAAAGTCGTTCGCAGTACTACTTTGTACTACAAAGCTTGCACAAAGTCGTTCCCAGTACTACTGTGTATTACAAAGCTTGCACAAAGCACTTCCCAGTACTACTGTGTACTACAAAGCTTGCACAAAGCACTTCCCAGTACCACTTTTTACTACAAAGCTTGCACAAAGCCATTCCAGTACTACTGTGTACTACAAAGCTCGCACAAACTACTTCCCAGTACTACTGTGTACTGCAAAACTTGCACAAAGCACTTCCCAGTACTACTGTGTACTACAAAGCTCGCACAAACACGTTCCAGTACTACTGTGTACTACAAAACTTGCACAAACACGTTCCATTACTACTGTGTACTACAAAGCTCGCACAAACACGTTCCAGCACTACTGTGTACTACAAAGCTCGCCCAAACTACTTCCCAGTACCACTTTGTACTACAAAGCTTGCACGAAGCACTTCCCAGTACCACTTTGTACTACAAAGCTTGCACAAAGCACTTCCCAGTACTACTTTGCACTACAAAGCTTGCACAAAGCACTTCCCAGTACTACTGTGTACTACAAAGCTTGCACAAAATCGTTCCCAGTACTACTGTGTACTACAAAGCTTGCACAAAGTCGTTCCCAGTACTACTGTGTACACAAAGCTTGCACAAAGTCGTTCGCAGTACTACTGTGTACTACAAAGCTCGCACAAACTACTTCCCAGTACTACTGTGTACTACAAAGCTTGCACAAAGCTGTTCCCAGTACTACTGTGTGCTACAAAGCTTGCACAAAGCACTTCCCAGTACTATTGTGTACTACAAAACTCGCACAAACACGTTCCCAGTACTACTGTGTGCTACAAAGCTTGCACAAAGTCGTTCGCAGTACTACTTTGTACTACAAAGCTCGCACAAACTACTTCCAAGTACTACTGTGCACTACAAACCTCGCACAAAAACGTTCCCAGTACTACTGTGTACTACAAAGCTTGCACAGCACTTCCCAGTACTACTGTGCACTACAAACCTCGCACAAAAACGTTCCCAGTACTACTGTGTACTACAAAGCTTGCACAAAGCTGTTCCCAGTACTACTGTGTACTACAAAGCTTGCACAGCACTTCCCAGTACTACTGTGTACTACACATGCACAAACACGTTCCAGTACTACTGTGTACTACAAAGCTTGCACAAAGCACTTCCCAGTACTACTGTGTACTACACATGCACAAACACGTTCCAGTACTATTGTGTACTACAAAGCTCGCACAAACTACTTCCCCTATAGACACTGCGACATCCACGTAGCAAAACACGAGTTGTTGCAGCTTCCCCTATAGACACTGCGACGTCCACGTAGCAAAAAGCACGAGAGTTTTGCAGCTTCCCCTATAAACACTGCGACATCTACGTAGCAAAAAACACGAGGTGTTGCAGCTTCCCCTATAGACACTGCGACCGTCCACGTAGCAAAAAGCACGATGTTTTGCAGCTTCCCCTATAGACACTGCGACATCGAGGCAGCAAAAGACACGAGGTGTTGCAGCTTCCCCTATAGACACGGCGACATCCACGTAGCAAAAGACACGAGGTGTTGCAGCTTCCCCTATAGACACTGCGACATCTACGCAGCAAAAAACACGAGGTTTTGCAGCTTCCCCTATAGACACTGCGAAATCTACGTAGCAGAAAACACGAGGTTTTGCAGCTTCCCCTATAGACACGGCGACATCGACGCAGCAAAAGAGACGAGATTTTGCAGCTTCCCCTGTAGACACTGCGACATCTACGTAGCAAAAAACACGAGGTTTTGTAGCTTCCCCTATAGACAGTGCGACATCTACGTAGCAGAAAACACGAGGTTTCGCAGCTTCCCCTATAGACACTGCGACATCTAGGTACCAAAAAACACGAAGTTTTGCAGCTTCCCCTATAGACACTGCGACATCTACGTCGCAAAAGACACGAGGTTTTGCAGCTTCCCCTATAGACACTGCGACATCTACGTAGCAGAAAACACGAGGTTTTGCAGCTTCCCCTATAGACACTGCGACATCTACGTCGCAAAAGACACGAGATTTTGCAGCTTCCCCTATAGACACGGCGACATCCACGTACCAAAAGACACGAGGTTTTGCAGCTTCCCCCTATAGACACTGCGACATCGACGCACCAAAAGACACGAGGTTTTGCAGCTTCCCTCTATAGACACCGCAACATCCACGTAGCAAAAGACACGAGGTTTTGCACCTTCCCCTATAGACACGGCAACATCCACCCAACAAAAGACACGAGGTTTTGCAGCTTCCCCTATAGACACCGCAACATCCACGTAGCAAAAGACACGAGGTTTTGCAATGTTTTGCAGCTTCCCCTATAGACACTGCGACATCCACGTAGCAAAGACACGAGGTTTTGCAGCTTCCCCTATAGACACTGCGACATCTACGTAGCAGAAAACACGAGGTTTTGCACCTTCCCCTATAGACACTGCGACATCTACGTAACAAAAAACACGAGGTTTTGCAGCTTCCCCTATAGACACTGCGACATCTACGTCAAAAGACACGAGGTTTTGCAGCTTCCCCTATAGACACTGCGACATCTACGTAGCAGAAAACACGAGGTTTTGCAGCTTCCCCTATAGACACTGCGACATCTACGTCGCAAAAGACACGAAGTTTTGCAGCTTCCCCTATAGACAGTGCGACATCTACGTCGCAAAAGACACGAGGTTTTGCAGCTTCCCCTATAGACGCTGCGACATCTACGTAGCAGAAAACACGAGGTTTTGCAGCTTCCCCTATAGACACTGCGACATCCACGTCGCAAAAGACACGAGGTTTTGCAGCTTCCCCTATAGACAGTGCGACATCTACGTAGCAGAAAACACGAGGTTTTGCAGCTTCCCCTATAGACACTGCGACATCTAGGTACCAAAAAACACGAAGTTTTGCAGCTTCCCCTATAGACACTGCGACATCTACGTCGCAAAAGACACGAAGTTTTGCAGCTTCCCCTATAGACACTGCGACATCTACGTAGCAGAAAACACGAGGTTTTGCAGCTTCCCCTATAGACACTGCGACATCTACGTCGCAAAAGACACGAGGTTTTGCAGCTTCCCCTATAGACAGTGCGACATCTACGTAGCAGAAAACACGAGGTTTCGCAGCTTCCCCTATAGACACTGCGACATCTAGGTACCAAAAAACACGAAGTTTTGCAGCTTCCCCTATAGACACTGCGACATCTACGTCGCAAAAGACACGAGGTTTTGCAGCTTTCCCTATAGACACTGCGACATCTACGTAGCAGAAAACACGAGGTTTTGCAGCTTCCCCCTATAGACACTGCGACATCTACGTCGCAAAAGACACGAGGTTTTGCAGCTTCCCCTATAGACAGTGCGACATCTACGTCGCAAAAGACACGAGGTTTTGCAGCTTCCCCTATAGACACCGAATTAACGACGCGAAAAACGACGCGAAAAACGACGCGAAAAACGTCGCGAAAAACGACGCGAAAAACGTCGCGAAAAACGTCGCGAAAACGACGCGCCGACCAACTGGCGGCGAACACGGGTCCAACCCCCAGACCCCCAACTATAAACGGGAACCCTTCACTACGCATTCGGGAAAAAACATTTCCCACAGCCTGGCCGCCCTGGCCTTGCCGCAGCCTGAAATCTTGTTCTCCGCGGCGTTCGTGCCTCGGGTCGGGCGACAACAAAACAAGAAAAGAACCTGGAGAAGAAAAATAATAACAGGGATAATGGATAGTTAACAGGATTAACATAGTTCTTAACAGGATTAATTTGAATATATTTGGATAATTAATGGATAATGGATATAAGAACCATGGTTTTTTAGATGTTTTTGGGACGGATCACCTAAATACACCCAACATTGGTAAATACACTGCCGCATCATTGGATGGTTACCTCTTGCAATGTGGGGCCCCCCAGTTATAAGTTGGTTTATAAACTCCCATAACTATAGTTATAAGTACCATAAACCATAGTTATTGGAGTTATAAACCAACTTAGCTATCTTGGGGGCCCCACATTGTGGGGGGCAATCTGCGGCCCCAGGTGCGGCACTCTGGCGCGGGGTCCGTCACGAACTTGTCGGCGCGCATGAAGGCGGGAGCCCGCTGACGGGAATGGCCAAACTCGTGTTCCCACTTCCTGAGCGGCGACGCCACGGCGCTTATTAAAATCTCGATGGGAAAACAACAAAAGCATATAGGAACTCATCATAGGTACCTGTATCCTCGAAAAAACACTAATAAATGCTCATTTGAGAGATTTCTACTTTTTGGGCGGCTTTTCTCCATATGAGCGTAATTGCACCACTTTTGGCATTTTTGCACTTTGTGCATTTAAGCCAGATATGGACATAACATCGGTGAATAGGTCAAGATTGCGTATTGCTGAGATATGGGATGGTTAGTACCCTGGTTGGTGGTATACCTACCCCTCTGAAAAATATGAAATTCAGTTGGGATGATGACATTCCCAACATACGGAAAAGTAAAAAATGTTCCAAACCACCAACCAGTACCTGTTGCGAAAAAAATGACCAACATCTGAGGTTCCTGGTGTCATTGCCCATCTGTGAATCAACATCCCAAGTAGCATATTAGGGGAGTCAAGAAACCAAAATGCATATATAATATAGGCCAGGACCCACAACAAATAGAAGGGATTCAATCATAATATACCAAATAGATCTAAATAGAATATATTCACATACAATCAGATCATATCAGATCCAAATAGCCGTAATAATGATATTTCGTAAGGGTGTTGACATGTTTTAAACCGTAATAAGGATCAGCACCGAAATTTCAGGGTGTATCACCGCATCCACATTGGCTGATCCCTGCAAATGGGTCTTCTTGCTCATCATAATCTAAGCTAAATATGTATCTGTGTGTGGTATAAACAACATCAGGATACTCATAAAGAGAAAACACACAGGGATACGACTAATCAGCTGCAAGTACCCAGAAATGATGATATTTAAGCTGGGTTTAACATTGTCCAAACCACAAACATGAGGGTCTTCACCTAAACTACAACGGTATTGTAGCAGGGTAGCCGCGGGGGAGGTTGGGCAGGGCAAGGTGGGAAAGGCAGTTTTTCTTATTTTCTCGGTAGGTAGAGCTCGCTCCGGTAGGAAGCGCACATACAGTTCCTGTACATGAACATAGCTCAAACTTGGCCTGGATAGGTGTAATACTTACACTGGTTGGTGGCTTCAAGCCCCTGAAAACCATGTCAATTGGGATCATCATCCCATGTTTCTGGTTGAAAATCGAGTCCTGGGTCGCAATCAAGTCAGACTTGAGCCAAAAGAACCACAGCATTCTTGGAATTGGTTAAGGAACCCCAGAAAAAAACCGCCTTTTTGGAGTCCAGAGATGTCCCGAGGTAGGGGATTTCCCATTGAGAATTCAAAATCAGCGAATCCAAGGGTTGACTTTTTTGGGTGACTCTGTTGAGCTGATAACCCATTGACTTGCATGGGCCATGCGCTGCTTGTCGAACAAGTGGCTTCCAGAAGACCTTCTTGTTAAAGTCGTGCTTGGGAGAGATCTTGATGTCGTTGGTGGTGATCAGCTTCTCAGGCGTTCCTGGTCTAGAGCCACAAAACACATCCAGCATCGTGAGGTGACAAAAAAAACATGGGATCGTTACTTTCCATCAACATCTCTGCGCAGTCTGTCCCAACATCAAATCCATGGGCAAAATCGTGTCTCAAATCCCGTTAATTCCATGTAGTCCCAGCAATTCCGTCCCCAATAATTCCCAGTAATTCCCTATACTTCCAGAATTTCCATATAATCCCAGCAAATCACAGTAAGTCTACAGTCTACAGCAAGTCCCAGTCAAACCCAAAGTTTTTTTTCCAGTAATGCCCAATCATTTCCTATAATTCCATATGATCCCAGTAAATCCCACTACGCCCCAGTCAAACCCAAAGTTGTTTAATCACGCCTGGTTCTTCGAAGTCGATCACCACGGCATCCTTGAAGCCCTTTCGATTCTGCGCGCGCTTTTTGCGAGACAAACGGTCGGCCAAGTGGCAGAACCAAGAAGAAATCCCCTCGTTCGATGGACGTTTCAAGCTGGGAAAATCAACACATGGAGGATTTTCCATAGCAGTAATGTTAGTAAACCCAATAAGAAAAACCATCATCAATCTTGCCAGAAATGGGTGGTATAACCCATTCCCAAGTTGTGTTTTTAAGTTCTGTATTGGCTTTACCATATAATCCACATAATCCACATAATCCACATAATCCACATAATCCACATAATCATGGAATATCAATGATTTTTGGCTTCCCCCCAACAACGTAATGCTTCTTCTGGAACTAAGAAACGGAACATTGAACGTCTTCAGACGTTTGATCCTTACCTCCATCCCCCAATCTGTAGAGATTCCCGCCAGGTTTCGCAAACCTTTGCTGGTGAAATCCTTCTGCTGGGTGCAAACATCTTGTGACTAATTCCGTCCCCGAAGAGAATTGAAGAGAATGGGGAGCCAAAAATGATATGAGTCAACATGATTAGCTCATATTAGCTCATCGACATAGGTTTTTCACAGCGAAGAACCACCAAACTTTTTGGTTCCAAGTATCTGGTTGGTAACTGGGCTTCAAAAAAACGATAGGGAAACCTAGGGTTTTTCGGGGTTTTTGGATGGTTTTTGACCGTTCTCCTAATCTGGATCCATACGGACAGAATAACCCCAGCATACCCTCGTCGCGCACCGTTTGGATCTTGATGGCGCTGACACCCTCGAGTTTGTGGAAGGCCAAGCTCTTGGCATCGTACTCCTGCGAGGCGGTGACGGGTTGAAACATGTTGTTTTTCCCTATGAAGAATGGGATAGTGTGGAATAGTGTTATATCCTCAACCACTGATGGGACAATATAATCCCATTATAATAGATTATAATCCCATTGTATTATATATAAAAAATGGTGGTTTATAAATGTTTATAATCCCATTACCCATATAGGATCCTAACGGTGCTGCTATATATGGTGCTCCATGGATCCCATCAATATACCCCAGTCATGTTAGCATACCAGCACCATGGATCCGTCATGGGATATAAACCACCTATGAACTGGCGCAGGATTTCGCAACCATCCACTGGAAAATCTATGGGAGAATCACACCTGGTTCCCATTACATATTCCACTAAACTACTGCTAAAAAAGGCTGCGTGTATGATGTTCTGCGGTCATTTCAACCTGATGTGGGTTCACATCCGAAACATGACCATCAAAAAAAAATGCGAATCTTCACCACTGTCAGATCACTTCAGATCACTATTTTTCCTGTTTTTTGTTCTATATCTTTCGCTGCTCGCCAGCTCCTTGTGCTTTGGGATGTGGGTGTCGAACATCTTTTCGGCCTTGAATTCCTTGCCATCCGTCCACCTGGCATTGCAAATTTCCCATGACGGATCTATGTATGCTATATATGGTATCATGGATCCCATCAATATACCCCAAATGTTAGCATATATACCAGCACCATGGATCCGTCATGGGATTTGGAAGCTGTTTAAAACATCGAACACCATTCATACTTGGGATATGTTGGGATCCAGCTAGGTCGAAAGGCTTTGTTTTTTTATTACTTCCGGTACAACCATCGTCGGCTGGTTGCGGGGTATGTTGGCCACCAGAAAAGGGACACCCACTCAAGTAAACTATGAGATACATAATCATGCGTATATAATTAAATTAAACATTGCTCTTAACATCATTATCATTCTACCAGGGGTGTAGTACTGGATCTATCAACCCCCAATCAACATAGACCCTGAGAAAGGTCTTGAAGACTATAGTTATTTGACTGACACTCAGTTGTATAAAAAAATCATGACTACCCTTCATTTTTCAACACAACTCAGCCCTGAAAATCCCTGCATTCCAACCGTGGAAAATCACCACTTTCACCGCTTTCCAGCCAACCCGGGCCGGCCGTCCGTCGGGTTTACCGCGGCCTTGGGCTGTTGTGGCAAAAGTCGTTCCTGGGTGGCGGCTGTCACCCAGGCAGGGACCGTAAATCTCAACGGCTCCAAATGGAAATTTTTGGGGTAGCCATGGAAGAAATCCGCACTCACAAAAAAAAATGGCATCACTTTTTAGCCTTAAATATATATATATATACACACACACGTATATACTGTGTATATATATAATTATATATATATATATATTTGATCCTGATAGGTGTCACCACTCTGAACATTGTGCCAATGAAGAAACAACGGAAGTTCACTTGTCAAACCGTGCGGATAAAAGCAGCAAAGCTTGGACTTGACACCAGCAAAACATATCAAAACATGTGGTACAAACAACAACAACGACAACAACAACAACACCAACAACAACACCAACAGCAACAACAAACAACAACAAACAACAACAAACAACAACAAACCAACCAACCAACCAACCAACCAACCAACCAACCAACCAACCAACCAACCAACCAACAAGAACAAGAATCACATGTCCAATTTCCAAACACATTTCCAAACACAACATAAGTTTCGCTCCACTGTTGATCAAGGCAAGAATCATCATCGTGATTCCCCGGCAGTGATTCCAGGACGAGAAATTATATGGGACCCTCTCTGAAAAATTCACATGGCGAGCTGGAGAATCACCATGTTTGTTGTAGGTAGAAGTTTCACCATGTTTATCGTCCAGATATGGGAAGTGTAAAAATGGGACATGATATTATAATGATTAGCTGCTGATCAAACTAGACGATTAAATGTAAATGTTGTGTTTAATGTAAATCTTTAAATCACACTATTGTTGCCTTCTCCAAAGGGCCTTGTTTTCTACACCATCTGGAACCCTCCAAAAAGGCACGCTTGATGGAACCTTTTTTAGTTGGCTTTCAGCCGTTGTTCAAAAACCTGAAACGTTCCTTTTTTCCACCCGCATCCCCGCATCCCCGGCACCACCACCACAACAACAACAACCACAACCACAACATGTTCCAGAAGGGTTGGAGCTTGAACTATGGTTTGACCAGGCTGGTTCCTGGAAATCCCCGGGGAACTAGACTTTTTTCAACTTTTAAATCAAACAAACAGTTTTGTGTCCCCCACTTCCATGGTAAACTTAAGGGGAGTATACCCAGGATTTGCCAGAGTCTTTTATTCAAACTCTGATTTTGGATTGACCGACAGTGATGTTGCATTCTCTGTCTTGTGACCTGCACGACTGATCGCAATTGATCTTATCATTCTTTCTGGTTATCTCAAACTCAACTTCTGAAACTCAACTATATTTCGAGGATCTCCCCAGGAAAATTACAATCAATCTCTGTCCCGCTTAGCCCGCGGCTTGATTGGATCTCGTAGTTCTGTCTTCCATGTCATTCTATTAATATCTAGTTCATGGTTTGAGCCCCATTCTTGTATGCCATTTCAACCATTTCTGGTTTCAGGAAATATCAACAGATATGTCAAAAAGAGTTGGGAGCTTCATCCGAATGGTAGGGTTCTTAAGCATAGATGAAACCACGCCCCTCGGGGTCTGTCCATCATGTTCTCACCATGACACCCCACACCTGCTTGGCGGTGCAGTTAGGATTACCATACTGTGTCTGTATAAACATATAGTAGCCCCATATCCCAACATTCCCAACTTATGGAGATTAAAATCCCATGGTTGTTAGCCATAAAAGAAGGCATCCAAACTGGTCCCAACTGCATCCTCAAGTAGGTTATATTCCATTATAAATTATATCCGATTCTATCCCAATAATTCTCATGAAAATCAATTATACAAGTCCCATGAAAAATCTGGGCAAATCATAGTAATTTACTAACCTGAAGGTTCGGTCGCAGTGAGGTCCTTATAATTTACCCAGATTACATTACATCCCTATATATATATATACATATATCACCATATTCTATACCATTACATTATATATATATATACACATATCACCATATTCTATACCATTATATCCCATGATATATCGTTATATCCCATCATATCCCATCATATCCCATCATATCCCATCCATGTCCCCATTCGATTCCCATAAAACCCCTTCGATGGATTGATCCCATCCAAGCATCTTGGAGAGCTTCATCACCAGAGCCCAGGTCTCACCCTCGCTGTGGCGCACCAAGACATCACCTCCGTAATCCATGGTGTAGGTCGAGAAAATGCCTCGGAGCATTCGGAGCGTTGGAGGGCCCGGAGATCGTAACATGGCTTAACATGGCAAAAAAACATGGCAAAAACAAAAAAAACATCAAGAAAATGGGGGGGTTCCAGTTTGGGCTACCCCCATCCAAGTCAATGTAGTCAATAGATTATAACTATCTAATACTATCTATAACTTAGTATTGAAACCCATGGTGACTTGAAAAGTACCCCCAAAATAGTAGGACACCCATATGAGGAGCAACTTTATGTTCACCAAACAATTCAAAAGTTCTGATCCAATGTCTATGTGAGGCCTTTTTTGGGGGAATCTCTCCAGAAAAAATGCTACGGTATATCCTTTCACCAACGCTGGGATTGACATATCGCAGAGGGATAGGTTCTTTCACTATAACGAACTTAGATTTCAACGGCAAACCATGATAATTTTGACTCAACAAGAGTCTTTGTTAACAAAAATCGGAGGATCCAATCCTCACTTCTAAGCGAATGTGGTTCATGTTTGTGGGTCAAATTACTGGTCTTGTGATATCTAGAATGGGAGTACTGCAACCTCATGTAACCTGTCACGACATATGTTGATCATAGAAAAAAATCGCATAAAATTGGGATTTGGGTATGGGTCAAAATTAGGTACCCCAAAATTATGGATGGTTCATACTAAACTAGACATTCACATCTGTGGTCTAATTTTCGGTCTTCCATTTTGACCCACATCCATTTATTTGCCTCTTGTAGCGGTTTGTGGCTACCCTCCGGTGACCTGTGACATGCCGATGGAAAAAAACATGTCCCATTCATAGGTGACCCACTGATGGGTAGCCTCCAGAAAGACTTCATTTCCAAGCCGTGAAGACCAGAGAGAACATCCATAAATATACCCTCTGGTTATGTCAACATAGCTATTGAAAATGGCCATAGAAATAGTGGATTTACCCATAAAACATGGTGATTTTCCATAGTTACGTTAGTTTACCAGAGGGTATCCCATGAAAAACCTTCATTTGTCCCATGATTTATACCATGAAATATCCCTCTTTCATATCCCATGAAATCCCATAAAGAATCACCAAAAAAAGCCATAGGCCATCCCCAAACTGCGGCCAGGCAGCTTCGAACCTTGCCGGACCTGTCAGGTGCAGCAACAAACCCATTGTCAATCTTAGATACCCTGGAAAAAAATGAAAAAACACATTTTTTAAGTTGGCTAGTAGATAAACCATGATGCTCCTATAGCAAATGGAAGGATAATATTACATAATATTACCCATCCAAGGTCAAACTAGTATGAACGTGCGAACATGTACAACTCTATTGTATACACCTCCGTCCCTGAGAGTGCATATATAATCATATATATATATTATTATATAATTATATATATATAATATATATGTATATAATATTATATAATATCTATTGCACCAAACCAAAATTGGGGAGTACACTCCGCCGTATGGCTTGAATTGAGCGTGTATCAAAGAAACCGGATATCAGCAAGGTTTCTGTTTGATGTGATATGTGGGCAACGAACAAACTACGGCTTAAGGGTTCCAAATATCCGTTTGAAAATCACAACGATGTCTTGCACAAATCGGAATATGACTGTCGTCACCATCAAAGAAAATTGGGCATCGGTTCAGTCATTTTTGATGCCTTCGATATGGGTCTGAAAATAGGATACTCCATGATACTCCTAAATCCACTGGTTAATCCTCATTTTCTCTACTAGACTCACTAGACTCGCCATTCGAAGGGTGCACCACATTTTCAGACACGCCCATATCCAAGCATGGCTTTGTCATCTTTGTCAATGTGGGAATGACATCTGTCAATCTGTAGGTCCACGGATAGGGCTGGTCATGCGGTCGTGCGATGTCGTGCGATCGCGATTTGAAAACGCACAGAGATGGTTTACCCCAATAAACGGTTTTTGGTCATATTTTCCTAAACCATTGGGAAACCATTGGGAAACCAATCTTGACCCGATATGAAGAACTGGACTGTGATCATGGCTCGATTTTTTCGTTTTTCCGCGTGCGAAAACCTGAAAAAATCGATAAAAAAGCATCACTGGAGGATCATCCCAGAAAACGTTGCTGTGTCACCCTGGTGATATCTGGTGATCGTTTTTTTTTTTAATATCGTCTCTAATATATATGTGGGTTATCCATGGTTATCGTATCTGCGGGGTATATCTGTTTAACCAAAGCAATGAACCAAATCTCGGTTCTTTCCAGGTCCTTTTTGGAACGCCAAAAAACACTGCTTGCCATATCTGCTGGTGCTTGGAAAACCCACAGGCATAGTTCATCAATGTTAATCATAGTTATCCCATGTTATCCCCACATTCAGAATGGAAAGTGAAAACCACCAATATCCGAGACAACAAATATTTTTTGCATAGAAATGCATAGGACATATTAGAAAATGGAGAGAGATAGAGAGAGAGAGAGAGATCACCATTCTTAATGGGTAAATTGTTAACAGAGGGTGCTTTTGTTTCCCAATGAAATTATTCACGGTGAATTCCAGAGAATCTGGATTGCCAATTGAAATCAATTGAAATAATTAAGCCCCTGTGAGTATAATATTTAATTACCTAAAATGGCTTAAATCATCTTACCCTCTGGTAAACTAACATAGCTATGGAAAATCACCATTTTTAATGGGAAAATCCACTATAAATGGCCATTTTCAATAGCTATTTTGACATAACCAGAGGGTAAATCTAGATTGAAATCCAAGTTGGTGAATCCCCAAAAGGGTCAAATGACCCCTCGGTCAGTCCCGTTGGAAAGGCCCAACCTCATGCGGCCCCAAAGCAAAGTTCGACGATCCTCGGCCCAACTCCCGCTGCTGCTGCAGTCGTTCCTTGGCGCTCTTCTCTGTCTTTACAGAGTTTCCGGAAGGTAAAAATGGGGATTTATGGGGTAAAACGACACATCTCCTCAGGTTTTTTTTGCGATTTCATGGGGTTTATATATATATATAACAGGATTGAATATGCCTCCAAAAATGGACAAAATGACATTAAATGACACCAACCAAAACCGTGGACAACGATGAAACATGGATTTATCATGATGTATCCATCACTACGAAAGTTGGGATTGGAAACCCACTTGGTGGTTCAGCCCAGTGGGTCAAACCCCCAGCCACAACTCATAACTGGACCAAGGGCTAAAACATGTGGGGATTGAGGCTGGTTTTAAACAACTTCATAGGTTTTTACGTGGCTAAACGTAGCTGTCACCAAGATCAGCTAGATTAACTCAAGATCATATGGGTCAAATTGTGTACCCAAAAATGGGATGGTGTCATGCAAGACATGGACAAACACATGCTCTGGTCTGAAAACAATAACTGGAGCAACTTTCATGGGGATCCATTCCCCAAAGAAAATCACAGCCAATCTAGCTGCACCTGGATCGTTTTGGTGGTGGCTCTCACTCTTTTCTATTACGGAGGCAACAAGCAATTTGCGCGTGCTGAGTTTGATTGCTTGTGTCTCCGGATTAATTAACCACCTTAAAATTCTCCCGTGCTATTGGTTTCGACATATCGTTGGTGGCTTTAACACATCTCGGAATGTGCTCGTCCACTCGTTGCTTTCTGATCACAGATGTGGGAATGGAAGATATGAAAAAATAAGAACTTCCAATCACAAAGAGTGATTTTCCCGGACCAGGATTGATTACCCTCTGGTAAACTAACAAAACTATGGAAAATCACCATTTTTAATGGGTAAATCCACTATAAATGGTCATTTTCAATAGCTATGTAACAAATTACCAGAGGGTAGATCATGTCTTTTTGAGATCCGTTTGAGGGACATGTTGACGTGTCTTAGTTGTCCCGGCTCCATCAAAAACTATCACTACAGGATGGTGCCCCCCAGTGATGTTTGTGGGTTTATAAACCCCATTAACTATAGTTATATCTGCCATAAACCAACTTAGCTAACTATGTATGGGAGTTATGGGAGCAGGGGATGGTGCCCCCCAGTGATGTTTGTGGGTTTATAAACCCCATGAATACTATAGTTATATCTGCCATAAACCATAGTGAAATGGGAGTTATTTGCACCAACTTAGCTAACGAACTGGGGCACCACCTTGTAGCAGCCAAGATTCTTGTCGCCACCACCGCAGAAGTCTTTACTCAAACCAATGCCCTGGCGATGAACAGATGGTCCCAATGCTCAACCCGGGTTTATATGGGTTTATTATGGTTTATTATTGACCATCCAGAGGCTATTCATTTTTTAGCTGAATGTGAAAAAACTTGTGAATCCATGTCCCAAAAACTTGAAGCTATCTCCATAGGAGTTCCTGACTTGCCAGCGGGAGGTTCAGCTTATCCAAGAAGCATACTCCCAAAAACATTGAGTATCTCTTCAAAACCCTTCAAAAATTGAGAAGGCCAGAAAAGGGGGCAAGTTCACCTGGCAGATTGAACGTTCAACATACCCTCTGGTAATTTGTTACATAGCTATTGAAAATGGCCAGTTATAGTGGATTTTCCCATTAAAAATGGTGATTTTCCATAGTTATGTAACAAATTGCCAGAGGGTATCTTTGCATTTCCTGAACGTTCAACATATCCCAACGGTGAACGGATTGAATGGACCAATCTGGAGTGTGTCCGTTTAAGTGGGAGACTCGTGAAACGTATAAATACTCAACACTCTTGAGCAAACCAAATTTATTAAATAAGTATATACTACATAATCACACTATACCTACCATCTGGAAATCTCATATAGCTATGGACAATGGAACATTCACAATCATTTATGGATGATTTCCCTATTTAAATGTGTAAATGATGATTTTCCCATGTGTTCCGTCGCCAAAAACGCCCCCTGCGTTCCTTGCTGATGTCGTTGTGTCTAGACCTTGCAGGGCATTTATCGCCGTCGCCCTGCTGGAAGCAGAAGACGCAGGCCTGCCGCCACAAATTTTAGGCACAGATCTTGCATGAAAAAAACGAGATATTGGAATAATTGATGTAATATTAGATAGTCATATTAGTAAGGAAGGCATATACTTTTATGGAATATAAAATTGGATAGTATTATCATAATATTATATATATACTATCATGGGCTACAATTATTACTAGTAATATTATAGTAATAATAAATAGTAATATTAGATAGTAATTATAATGTTTTATGATCCTTTATGATCTGTAATTCAGAATTAGATACTAACACACTAGATAGTATCATGATGCATATTATATATATGACTAATCCAAAACTGTAATTATAATTGATTATATACTACTAATATTAAAATTTAACCATCATCCATAATTGTAATAGTATTGGAAAGTAATATGTTAAAATAAGTTGAGTGAAAAATATGTCATCCATATGGGTAAATTATCATATTTCACTAACCTGAAAAGTTCGGCCAGCTATGATTCTGGGTCCTCGGTCACGAGGTGATTCTGGGTGAGGTCACGAAGCAAATCGCCCATGTTCCATGTTCCATGATACCCGGCCTGGTAATTTGTTACATAGCGAACTGGAAAGATCCACCACTTTTAATGAATAAATATGGATAAATCAACGATCTAAATTTATGGCCATGTTCTATGTCGCAAACTGTTAACGTTTACCAGGCCGGGTATCAGTTTGCGTTTTTCCAAATAGTTTGATGGTTTATGCACAGTGTCCCTACATTTTTCCGGAGGTGATCCAAAGCAAAGATGAATTGCAACCAGAAATTTTCAGGATTTCTCACACGTGGGGGACCCCAAGATCTTCCAAATCTTGTCATGTTTCATGGGAAACACATTGTCTTGGGGTCAATTTCAAGGCTTACCCAGATGTAAACATGATCAAGTGACTCGTTACTAGGTGAAGTTTTGATTCATTCAAATATAATCAAAGAAGTACAACTAGGTTATATATATAATTATATATAACCCTTTACTATATAACCGGGTTGTTTTCACAGCAGCAAGTTGGAGAGTTATGTCCCAAAGTTTACATGGCAATCGGAGACCCAAATCAGAAGGAAAATCACTGGTTACGAATCGTAGTCGTGATTCCCAGCGTAGCACGAAAATACTCGGGCAAACATGTTGACATGTCTTACAACATACCCTCTGGTTATGACGAACAGTTCGCCATGGTTTTTAGATGGCCCTAATCGAAATAGATGGTTTACCTAGCTAGAAACCTCCATTTATGAGGGATTTTCCATGGCTATGTTAAGTAACCAGAGGGTATATCGTGACATGGGGATGAGTTAAAATTGAAGCCCTATTGGACCACAGATCTTAGTATCTGTTTAGTATTAATCATCTCATTGTTGGGGTATCTACCAAATTCTACCCTATACCCGATGATCTATATAACTTATTTTCTGACAAGTCGTCACAATTTCTGACCTGGCATACATGCTGACAATTCCTGACATTTGTAATATTAGACCCGGGATGACGCATCACGAAACGAAGATTTTTTATGCAGCACGAAACAACATATTGGGTTAAATAGATGATTTCTAAACATCTACGAAACAATAAAGCTTAAATTTTGACTCACCCTCCATATCTGAATAACTTATTGCAAATCATCACAAGAAACCATTTGAGATCATTTGAGCTATTATGAAAGATTTTGTGAACATGGAAAGCATACTAAATCAATCAACATACAGTAAATTCAAACACAGTGTGGTCGACGTGAGCAAAGGTTGTCTGCTTCGCTCTCGTCTTGTCATCCATCTGCAAGGAGGAGCTGACACAAAATCTAGAGACCCTCACCTGACAGGGGAAACTTAGATGCTACTTGGTGGCTCATCCCACTTAGTAAGTGGGTTAGTTCACCCCAGTGATTTCAGTGGATTAACCCTACAAAAATCCCATTTATAACTGGGGTTATAACCCACTTACGATTCGTGGGTAGTTCGCCACCAAGTAGACAGTCAACGGATATCAACAAGCCACCAAAGAGCGCAATTTTTGTTCACCGCTAATAGGCAAGACTGTAGAGACCATTCAGCACGCCATGAGGCCGCTGAGGTCGTGATTTGTTTTTCGGACTGCCGCCGGAATAAAATTCCATGGTTCCAGTCACCACCAACCAGATATATGAAAATCATTGATGATCAAAAAATTAACCATAAGAATAACTCAGAATAACCACTATTAAACACTATTAATATATATATATATTATATGTATATTATATATATATATGTATGCATTGTTCCCCCCTGTTTTTGATGTGTTTTATAACCCTCCTGGAAAATCCCACCGGGGCCTTTCCGCAGCCCGAAGGCCCATCTTGAGGGTTGGTGCGGCACTCGGGAGCAGGGTTGCGAACGAAGCCTGAGGCTGGTAGGAGATTTTGATGCCATTCATTTCAATAGTGATTAATAATGGTTAATCATGGTTAATAATGGTTAATAATGGTTAATAATGGTTAATGATGGTTAATAATGGTTAATAATGGTTAATAATGGTTAATAATGGTTAATAATGGTTAATAATGGTTAATAATGGTTAATAATGGTTAATAATGGTTAATATGGTTAATAATGGTTAATAATGGTTAATAATGGTTAATAACTGGTTAATAATGGTTAATAATGGTTAATAATGGTTAATAATGGTCAATAGTGGTTAATAATGGTTAATAATGGTTAATAACTGGTTAATAACTGGTTAATAATGGTTAATAATGATTAATAATGGTTAATAATGGTTAATAATGGTT